TGGGGAACGTTCTATTAAGCAATATCCTGTAGGATTCTAAGTAACTTATGGCTTGACATCGCGCAAGTGTCCATAACACTACGTTATTATTATTTAACATTGATATTTTCATCACGTACATCACTTGGCGACATCTTCAACGATTTGTGAATACGAAATATTTTACATCTCCTATGGTCAATATTATTTTTACACTACAGAAAATTAAAATTTTTAAATTGTGCGTGGTGATTTTTTTAAAATAAAAGGATTTATTCGAGCTTTGCAAAAAGAAAAAAGTAAGATTTATCGCGATGGAACAGGTAATAACACGTCTGGGTTAAAAAGAATGCATTATAATATAACGAAACTGGCTAAAATTTCGGTAGGAACCGGTTCTTTGTTGGCCTCAGGTAATGATGGATGTAAAACAAGTCCCTATGGAAGATAAGAGAAGGTTTTTAAAAAATTATACCTGAAAATATTTTAGCCTAAGCAAAAATTTTTACTTAAAAGTTTTAGTCACTTTTAATTTACACAAAAATACCTGATGTTTAAATGGGGGGTTTTTTGATACATTTTTTTTAAGAATTAAGTTTATCTATTTAAACAATATCATATTTGAAATATTTTCGAAAAATTTAGTTCAAAATTGACATAACTATTAGCATATTTAACATAACGGAAATGTTATTTATCCATAATTGTTGTTTTATTATTATTTTTCAATAACAAATTCTAACTCCAAACTCTATCTACTATGAAATTGAATTGGTTTTAAAGATAAATTTGAACCACTTTTGCCATCTTCTTATTCAGCAAACCTGAAAGAGGATTATTGAGATGCTTACAGTTATTTTGCCAATTTTCTTGGAATTTGGCCCTTTCTCAATACATTTCCTAGAAATTTGGATTTATTTAAAAAGTTTCTTCTCCAGTTCACCATTTATAATATAAAAAAATACATTTTAAGTGACATTTTGAATCCAAAATTATATTCCTAACATCTAATACCACACTTCTAAATTGAAAGTTAACAAAAAAGTGAGAAAGTCGAGTGAAGGCCACACTCCGGTTAATTTGAAAACGATTTCGACCAAATCTAACTTTTTAAACATATACTTAATTTTTTTAAATTTTATTGTTGATATCTTATCATGTAAAATCATTTAAAATGGATACAAATATGATTAGATTAACCTTAATAATAACTTAAAACTTTTGATGGCTCATTTTGGTTCTGTCTAAATAAATTAGAAATAGTGAAAAAATAAATGTGCTTGGGTTAGGCCATAAAAACAAATATTGCTTCATAAATTATTTACTTTATTTCCTACATTTGCCAAAGAATGAATGAGGTTCGATAAGTTCTTCTTTCAATTATAGTCCAAGTGGAAATGAAATTGAAAATAAAGCAACTGGAGAATATGACAGTGCCTTTGACGTTGACTTCGTTTTTAATCAACGTCTTCAAGCATTATACCTTCATATATTGTACGTGTCATTCGATTATTCACATTGATATCAAATTCTGAGAAGGAAGCGGACATAATAACATGTTGGATCTAATCCAACATGTTATTAGATTGAAAAGTATGCATGAAAGCAGAAAATCATTATATAGATTATGGGTACTAAATTGAATATTAATTGGAACATTGAGAAGCAAAATTTTAAATTTTGCGTAAATTATTTTTAATTATTTCCAACTATGCCAAATGATATGTTTTGCTTATATTGAACAACTAAACTTTGGCCAGGAGGGCGTGTTTGGGGTCATTTTAAATGGTTATTGACGAAGATTGGCAATTTTTCATATTTCTTGGTATGTAATTAACTTGTTTTTGATTTGAAATCTTATAAATAAATAACACTATTTTCTACAACAATATTTCCTTATTCATTCGCATTTTGTATCTTTCTCTTCTATACTTTGTTACACTTGGAGCGAATTCTATTACCTCAACAATACTTGACACCTTTTTTCCCTTTTTGAAAAGGAAGTGGTTTTACATGAAGCTGTTGAAGATGTCGCCGTTGTTGTAGCTTCATAACGTTCATATTCAACTTTATAAAGTTCATGTCCTAACTGGAATAAAATATCTTTCCGTGAAATATTTTCAACTTTCGTTTCTTTGTATACAACCCAACTTGAATGTGTTTATTCTGATAAACTCGAGGATATTGCAAAATAAATTTTCTGTCGCTTCCAGTAAAAGATTAAATGAGCTTCAAAACGACAAACTCACTCAATGAAAGTAATGCTGATTTCGTTTTGTCTTTGGTATCGTTTCTCGATGCTCGTATCGGCTAGGTTTTCAAGAAAAAACTTAAGATCCAATCTTTGTTGTAATTTTGCAATAAATTGAGCAAAATCCGAAGATTTGTGTTTATTACCAAGAAGCTGTGAAATGATACCCCGGATTTACAAGGTGTACAAAGGAGATCTTTGATTTTGGCCAAAATTGTATGCATTGTGTTGTCATTTATACTGCTTGAATAACTGGAATAGATGTTTTTTTATTTCCAATATGTAGCTAAATCTAGCCAATATGATTTTTTGGTTCTCTCCATAACATTGGCAATATATCCTGGATAAAACGCTAACTTGTAAGATAAATAAGGCACGCATTGCGTTCGCTTAGTGCAGAAGGGCCGTTGGGACCTCGTGGGGTTTAACACCCAAAATATTCCTGTGGATATACACTGCAGTGATACGTCCAATGTTAACTTACGGCGCCGTAAACTGGTGGCCAAGAGTTAGATTAAAACGATTGTTTTGCAACTACAAAAATTGCAACGTCTGGCTTGTCTTTACGTTACAGGCTTGATATTAACCACACCAACAGTAGCAATGGAGAATGTACTGTGCCTTCCTCCTCTCAATTATCACGTTGAGGAGGCGGTGATAGCAACAATGATCCAGATTCGCATGAGTGGAATCATGGCAGTACAACCAGGACAAATTCTAGCCTTTGCCTCCAAGGTATTATGACTGGAAGGACCCTAATGCTGACCAAAAGAGGGAAGTAAGTACAGCTGAGGTCAAAGTGCTGCGGGCGGTGCAGCCTGCCTTCCCGCGAATCCAGAATCCAGAATCAACATTGGCAATAAAAACGAAAGGTATACTTTTTCACCAAGTGACCACTTGTACAACTTTGTTCTGGACACATTGCAAAACAGTAGTAGTAATGCAATCTTCAGTTGGTTATTATTTTGCCACTTTTACTGCTTTTACCTACTTTTAATCACAACGTTTTGTGAAAATCACCAGTTTTTTTTAAATTCATCTTTACTTTTTGGCAGAGTGTCAGTTTAAAAAGTCCAAAATCCAGAATCAATTTTGACAAACGGATCAAAGATACAGATTCAAAGCATCAAATTACGTTGAGAGTCGTTCTCATCTGGTCAAGTCCAAAAGTTTATCGAAATTTGTAAACTTGTAAAATTAATATAACTATATAATAGTAGTATAATATAATAAATGTTACTATTTACTATTAAGCAGTTATAAAAGTGGCATAAAATTGATTTATTATTTTTTATTTTTGCTGTTAATGTTAATACTCATGTATTTTTGTTAACACATTCATTCAAATATTCTAAGCATTTACATTTATAATTTTATTCATAATTTTTTTTATTTTTAAATATTGCTTTTTATCAATTTCTTTACACCAACATATTTTTTTTACTAATTTCATTAATTATAAATTAAATTTTCTCTTTACAAATAAAATTTGTTTTAATATTGTTTTTGTGTTCAATAAATTACTCCACCAAATTGCAGCAATCACACGGAGTGTTTGGACAAGTGCCCAAAACAAAATTTGTGTTTGACCCCATCCAATTAGTCGGTTCATTTAATTTTAGTAATCAAAATAATGTATTAATAACAAATTATATTATTACGAGGAGTGCAGCTGTGTATTTGTTATTAAACATTATTCCAGGAAACCTAAAAATATTTCTAATTTTATAAAAATTAAAAACCTTATCGTTTTATATATTTTAACGTTCGAAAACACTTTCGTTTTATCTATTAATAGATAGTTTTATTACGTAATAAGATGTTTCTTAGAATACATCGGTGTAATTACCTAAAAATACGAGGTATAACTCAGGCATTACATGCTTCTGGTTACTAATGACTTTAAAAAGTCATTTAAAAAGATGTTTTTAAACTAACTAGGTCACCTCACGGTGTTTACTACCATTTTTTCTGGGAAACGCGTGTTCGATTAAATTATTCTCGTTTGATTTTAATTGCGTTTTTTTTTTAAATTAAAAATTAAAATCCATTGCCGTTTAATGACAACGTTTCAAAGGTTGAATAATTATAATTTTCATTATAACTGATAGAAATAGTGAATTAGTTTTTTGTTTATGAAATTCCAAGAAAATTTTCGGTTGAATTTTCCGATTTCTCGGAAATGCCACGCTTTGAAATTTATGTAAGGACATGGTTCGTTTATTTTAAGAGTAAGAAAAAGAAAGTAATAACCAAAACGAGCGCTAGTGTATACCCTGTTTTACCTAGAATCTCCTGGATTTCTGTAAATATTTACGTTTGTTCGATTTAGCAAGAAAATAATTATATATAACTATGTTGGTGGTATACTTAAAGGAAATTTACATGAAAAACAGTTTATTTATTAGTTGTAATTGCATTTATTTTGTTGGGACTCAGAAAAAATGTTTTCTAATAACATTTCTAATAAAAACCACAAAATTTCCGTGGTTAATGAATCATAAATTTCTTGAAATTAAATTTCAAATAAAGCAACTTTTTATTACAACGGCCTATTTCATTTTAAGCACATCCCACAAAGCAAATTTAATATTTTCAATTTTTATATAGCAATAATTGTAAATATTTCATGATTCACTTCGACATTTCAAATTGTGATGTAACAAAAAGATAATGTAAAAAATAACTAAAAAAAATTAACCACGTAAACGATAATTTTATTGTTAAGATAAAAATAAATATTTTAAAAACAAAAAAAAATTTATCTCACCATTCAATACTTCTATATCCAAAAGCACAACAATGAAGAGCTTTAAATTTTCCGGAAATAGCATATTGTAAATTTGGAGCTTCTTTTGTAAATTGCATTAAATCACTGTGTGTTTTAAATAAATGTGAAGTACAATAATCTTCGGCGAATACTAAACACAACACAATACTCAAAATTAATATTTTTAACAACATTTTGTTTAGTGGTCTGTCACCGCGTTAAAAAATATTTTAAACTAAATTAAAATTAAGTATTAAGAAACATCTTTTTGATAATTAATTCCAATTCTAGTCCGAATTAGTAAAAATCACACTTTCAAATAATCACACCTTTTTTCTCTCAATTTATTAAGATTAAGTAAACGCGACGAAACGTGTTAAAACTCTTTGAGACAAGTCGACCACACCAAACGAGCGCCAACGAGGGAATGATTCAAATGTCGCTTATGGTTCCCCACTTCGAAATCGTCTGAAATCTCACCTGCGCAGTTCGTAGTTCGTTGCAAAGATTGACGTTTCTTTAATTCTTGGAAAATTAAATTTTCAGTTTAAAAGATAAATTTATTTCCTTATATAAGTATATTTAATTCGTTATGGTGAACCAATGTTTCAAAATGTTCGTTGAAGTCCCGACCGCCATGTTTATTTTACATTGATATCAGTTATCAGCAATTTCCAAGTATCACTTTAAGCATGTTTACTCAGTGTTTTTAATGTAAACCTTGGTTAGTAAAAATTCTTATAATATAATAAACCTATGTCATTGTTTTAATCACTTTTTTGAAGAATAGTTCAAATAAAATTATGGTAATCTTCAAATATAGAGATTTACTGTATCTAGATCACGTATTAACCTGATGTGGTCTAACTAGTTGGTTGAAATTAGAAACTTAATCTTTGTAGTGGTCATTAAACCAACAACATAATTATATGCATCAATAATGAAAGCATAAAACGTCTCATTTGTAACTAATTAAGTGTTAAGATAACAAGTTAGAAAGTCATAAAGTTGAATAATGTGGCATAATGACAAAATAAAACGCCTAATAATGAAAAAAAAACTGATATCTATCAAATGAAGAATGTCAAAAATTACCAATTGATTTATGTTTAATATGGCAAGTTGGATTGGCCACACACTAAAGAAGCCTCATGGAGAATTTGAAATATCAGCGCTCGATTGGAACCCCAAGAAGCACGGAAACGAGATCGCCCTAGATAAACTTCTATTGTTGTTGTCAACATAAGAAAAGCATACAGGGATTACGCGTAATGCTAGGTTGAATTAATTCGTACAGTATATTTAAATACTTCAACGACTCGAACACAAGTTTAACTTACAACAGAAGATGTATGGTTTTCATTGATTAATCTGAGATGGCTTGCGGCCAAAAAAAGCAATCTTGTTGTCACAATTTATAACTCTGCAAAAGGTGATGTTATTCTTTTGACCAATTGATGCATAATTACACCATTAGTCGCAAAAATTAGGAGATGGTCTTTAAGATACGAGTAAGGAATGCTTGATGGTCTAAATGTCTGGATACTCTACGGGTGCAAAAAACTTATAAAATATAAGCAGACGATTATTTCTACACTAGGTTCATTTATTGATTCATTCAATGGCGCTACAGCCCGAGTGGGGCCTTGGCCTGTTTCCAACGGAGCTTCTCCACTAGGCCAATTTCAGGAGCATCTTACTGTTTTCATCGACTGAATCCTTTCAGCGTTTTCTCGACTGATTTCTTTTCCTCCACCATTCTTTCTAGCTCGTCTGAATATTCGCGCAGTCGAATTCATTGCCGTCCTCAGAGAGGTTGGTTCCCAGATATTTGAAGTTCCTTCACTATATTACAAGTCGCCACCGTTAGATCCTGTTCTATTGGCACGTTTCCACGTGATTGCATCATGACCTTTATTTTGACGCCGTTGATTCGTACTCTCGTTCTGTCGATGTCGTATCGAATTTAGCTAAGACTTCTTTAACAAACTGATGTGATCAGGCCATTATGTTAATATTGTCGGCGTAAGCTACTATGTCTGACGATTTAAAGAGTAGCATCGCTTTGGTATTAACTCGGATTATTCTTATGTTGTACTCCAGAGCCAAGGTAGAAAGTGTAGTTGATCCAACCCAACCCAACCCAACTCAAGGCAAGCCAACTCAACCCAAGCCAACCTAACCCAACTCAACCCAAAACAACCCTTTTTTTTCTTTATACAGGAGGAAAAAGCTTTACCAGCCAACAAGACTCTTCGTCGAAGTGAGGGGCTCTCACCCTCTAAAAAGCTCCTGTAGATCACTGCAGCCTTGCGGGAATATGCTTACGTGTTTAAGACTTGCTGTATCGCCTTTCCTTTCACGAATACATATTCTCTTTTTCTCTCTTCGCATCTATCCGCCGTATCCAATCTTCTCCAGCTTTCCAGTTCAGGCAACATAACTTGCTTCCTACCACATTCCTTGACTTCGTATCCTCTTTTTTCCATAATTGTTCGCGCTTCCTCTTTGCTACTGATGATTCCTCAAAGTTGGTTTGATCTCACATCATCTAGTGAAAAACTCATAACAAAGACAACTGTTAGCTTTTTGATAACGTTTCTCTTACCCAACGCACACAGATGGAGTGGTGCTACACTTCTTTCTGGACCTTGCTGGCCCCTCGTTTTCTTCTGTTTACACACGGCCTTCTCGGACTCGGAATGGCAAGAGCACCGAAAAAATAAATGAACAAGCCGCAAGCTTTTTGATTAAAAAGGTGTGCCGGAGACCCCTTTTTCCTTCCTTACTGGCTTTCTTGTCTTTGTATTCCACTCTCCAGGTTCCTACTATTCTTGTCTTTCCTCTCTCTCTCTCTTTGGTCTCTATTTCTTGCTTTACGTCTTTCGCAAGTGTATCTGAATTCTCCTCACTCTCAAGCATAATTCCAATTTTAACTCTTTTCTCATTTCTTTCCATCTATCACAGTGGTAGAAGGTGTGTTCCACATCGTCCACTTGTCGGCATACACATAGTTCATTTTCAGCTCTTACTTAAGTATAGATGTGCCTTAAAACAGCCATGGCTATTCAAGAACTGTGTCATGGAGTAGATTACTTCTCCCCATTTACGTGTCAGCCATAGTACTATATCTTTTTGACCAACCTGCTTTCCCAGTGTTGTCTCTACATCTATTTGCCCATAGTGTCCACTACATTTAGGTATTCCCTCTTCTTCCGTAAGTCATATTCTTCTTTTAACCATTAGGTCGATAGGTGAATCTCCCAGAACAAGTAGTGCCTTTGTGGATATTGTTCTGCACGCACTGATTGCTCTAAATAGTATTTGTCTTTGAATTCTCGTTAGCTTAATCATGTGTTCTTTCACCTTTAGAGCATTACACCATTAACACCATGCACTTATGGTATTCCTTTTATCGGCACTTGGTCCGTATGTTGACCAACCCAAGACAACCCAAGCCAACCCAACATGGTCGTCTCTCTACTACTTCCTTTTGGCTTTTTAAACTGTTTTTGTTTCAATGAGATATGATGCTTTTTACATAATGATGCTTTTGTATTTTGGAATCTAGACACTAACCCGTCAAAAATGATAGTTTGACATCATATTTATTTATTTAAGAGCAATTATAAATAAACAGGAAAAAATGATAAGATGTTCTAGATAAACATCATTTGGTCAACAATCATTGATGAGCAACGTTAAGTAATAACGCAACATCACCCGAGTCAAGGTCGAGTAACTGCGTTAACTGTACCTTAAATTTTTCTTGTGTAAAACTAAATGTTATTCTAAATTAGAAACTTTTAACTGTAATTTGTTAACAAAATTTCTCTGAGTTCTTAGAAGTAAAATCTTTTCGTATTTTACAGTTTTGCATTAAACGTTATTCGATTCATTTTATTTATTTGAAAGTGAAAAATATGAATGTCAAGAATATAAAAGAATGTCTTTGGAAAGATTTAAACGTTGTAATGACATCATGTTTTAGTAGTAATTCTACGTCTGAAAATGAGTCATATTTTTGTATAAAAAGAATTTTACGTGTACAAACAAGAATATATTTCCTCGAAATTATCACATTATTTTCTTGTTGGTAATTATTTTTCCTCCGTGTTATGTGGATATTTTTTCTCTATTGCATTTATATCAAAATCTTTTTATTCAATTTTGGTTTGGGTTTTTACTCCATCTGCTAATAAAAGATGTGAAACATTTGTGTAAATATTTCATCTAGTTTATATTTATGCGAATGATTCCCGGTATGTCACTTTTACCCGCAAAAACATAAATATAGCGTATTCAACCACGCATTGCCAGAGTTACTCAGAATTGAAACTGCACTTTCCTATAATTTATGGTTTCAGGGAACGTATTTTCCTAGCACAACATTGCACGCCACAATAATTCATTATTTTGCGTCAAAAACCTTTGTTGGCTTTGTTGCTTTGTAAATTTATAGCAAATATGTTTAATATAAATGCGTGTGATATAGGCTACCCATTATACTTCATTTTATTGTTTATTTAAAATACTTGTAATCTTTTATCAATTTCAACAAGTTTATTATCTACAATTAATTTCGTTGAATATTAGCATCACAAGTTATAAGAGCATCAATAAATCCATCAGGTAAACCACCATCTCCGCCGTCTCCACCTTCTCCACCTTCTCCACCTTCGTCTCCCGGCGCTAACATTGAATTGATATAATCTTGTATAAGAGGACTCAATGCTTCATCGATGTCTTCAGGTTGTTGATTAACCCAAGCTGGGACTAAATAATTGTTGAAAAGATCGGTGAAAATTGCACTGTGCTCATCATCATTGAACCAACCAGATATCTCAGCCTAAAATAAATCATGATTTTTATAAAACCAAAAAAAATGGGAAATTTACTTACATGAGATGAACCAATATTAACTAAAATCGATAAATTTTGAATTTCAAGAGGGTCACTCAATGAAAGAAAAACGCTAAGCCTCAATGAAAGATCTCCCATTTTCCAATTTAAGTTGCCATCACCATGAACGTGCATTCCGTCGACAATCATTTCTAAATCGTACAAAGTGTTAAGATCAAAATTTTGAAATACAAAGTTGATGTCTAATTGATAACCCATTGGTATCATAGAAACAGTTCCGGTGATTTCCGGTGCGTAAAAACTTGTTAATCCAGTGAAGGTTAAATCATGAACGTGGGCGTAACCACTGCGTAAAAAGGATTTATATCATTAAAAACAAAAAAATTAAGTTTGTTAAACTTACCTTGCACCAGTAAAGTTGAGGTTATCAACATTTAAATAAAAATCGTCAACAGATATTGTTTTAACGGATGAAAAATTAAATTCTGGCAAACCATTCTCTAAGTTGTATCTGATACAATTTAAAGTTTCATTTATGGTGTCTTCAAAGGCTCTTTGATGAACACGTAACAAATCATCACGTATTTTCAATTTATGGCCCAATTTTAATTCGGATGAGTATCCAAATGCTAAGATGGCGAAGAAAATAAGAACGGAACGCATCTTTTCTAAAAAAACAAATTAATTAAATTGATTAAAAAAAAATTAAAATTTTTTTGAATTAAACTTACTTAGTTGAGTGGTATTCACTTAATGACGATCGTAACTTGCTGAGGGGGTAATTTATAAATAACGCATAACTTATAAAACGAGAGATAATATTTTTTTAATACAATTAGATGATTATTTTTCAAGTGGTTTAAACAAAGAACGTTTTATTACAAGTACTTATTGTAATCAGATGAAAAAAAAATAAGTACTTAGAGATTTCATTTGAGAATAATTATTATTGGTACTTTTAATTTTTTATTGTAATAACACGTTTTTAGCACGAATTTATGTTATGGAGTTAAAATTTATTCATTTATAGGAGGAAACTTAAATAGTTGCACTATTTTTTACTATTTAGTTGCAGTGCAAAAATCATAATGAATTTGGATTACTAATTATAATGTCAAATTGTAATAACTAATACTCATTTTCTATTTGCAAGAAAAGCTATGTTTCTCGTTATTAGATCATCTCTTGATTGACGTAAATTAATCTTGTGAATAACTATCATAGTCCACTCATTGTCAGTGGATAGCTATTGGGTTTTATAATATATTGTTGTTATATTAACGACATAACGTCAATACATGTTTCATCATATCTATTATATAGAAGGTCACTAATAACTACCATAACTTAATATAGCTTATAATATACAATTTGTCCCATAATTGTTTATTTCTAGTTTATATCTCTACAACTTATGATGATAAAGCATGGTTGTAGCAAGATACGTCAAGAGCCGATCAATCTGATCGGTTGAAATAATGCGGTCAATGGCAAATCAGCTTCTGTTTAGAAATGCCATATGGATATAGAATGATACGAATACCATCAATATTTAATGCTACATATATTGCCAGGAGTTGCTTACCACACATTGCTTGCAGGTTCCCCCCACGTTTTATGCTTATGTATCGCTTATGTAAAAATACCGACTAAAAAGAAAGTAATTCTTCTACAATATTGGCAGATTTTCAACATGCAGAATACAGTGTTTATACAGTGTTACTGAAGTTGCGTAATATAGTATGCCGATGGCCTCATTGTAAGTACTCATAGCCGGAAACGCTCAGTATTCCTTTGAGTAGTAATGGAAAGGATAGTGATTTTGCGAAAAACCGGATGCCGGATATTTGGCATCCATCAATTTTGGTGCATTTCTGAACATACATTGCCACATTATTGCGATATTTGAATAAAAATGAAATTAATAAGAAAGCTGATAAAATATGTCAACTTATTTGGATCCAAGATACAAAATGAACTTTTTTGATACTGATTTACAAGCAACTCTAAAAAGAGGATACTTTAATTAATAATTGGCGATATTTCCACAAGGATCCTTCAAGAAATGAATTTTATAGCGAATTTTGGAAGTTATCGATGAAAATTGCAACATCGAAAATTATATCAAAACTTCAAATATTGTTTTCTCAAAAACTAGAAGTTATTTTTCAAAACGGGTTGGTTCATTGGAAAGAAGACACTTTTATTAACACTTTGGGAAATTTTCATACTCATATTTCATGAACTGGATTTTATACGAGTTTTTAAAGCTTAATCGGCGAAAATTGCCAAATTCGAAAAAATTGTCGACCATTTTAAAAATTTATTTCTCAAAAACTAAAAGCGATTTTTCAAAACGGCTTGTTGCGTTAAAAAGAGGATACTTTAATTAATAATTGGTGTTATTTCCACAAAGATCCTTTCAGAAATGAATTTTATAGCGAATTTAGAACATTATCGATGAAAATTGCAACATCGAAAATTTTATCAAAATTTCAAATATTGTTTTCTCAAAAACTAAAAGTTATTTTTCAAAACGTGTTGGTTCATTGGAAAGAGGACGCTCTTATTAACACTTTGGCAAATTTTTATACTCATATTCCAAGAAAAAGATTTTATACGAATTTTTAAAACTTAAACGGTGAAAATTGCAAAATTCGAAAAAATTGTCGATCATTTCAAAAATTTATTTCTCAAAAACTAAACGCGATTTTTCGAAACGGTTTTTTGCATTAAAAAGAGGATACTTTAATTAATAATCGAAAGTGATAGCAGCGACAGTTCTGTTAGTAATGAATGTGATGATGAATTATAAGCTAAGAGAAGAAAACTAGACGAAACAGCAACGAGAGATTTTATATATCGTATTGGGATTGTAACAATGAGGTTGCTAATGACAAACCTGATATAAATAAAGTTGTATTCAATGAAAAAACTCCTATTGAGGTTGAACTTGATTATTGTCTGCAGCGTCCAACACCTAAAACAGATACTAATTCCTTAGTGGAGAAATTTTATTAGAAAGATCGCTTCAGAATAATGTAACAACCGTATAATGCTCTGTTGCGGAAGATACGGAACACGCTGTAAGCTATACACCTCTATTGTTACTAAGCTCTTAGCGATAGCAAGAGTGTCACAAGCAACTTCTACTAATTTAATATTTCATAGAAAGGTTCAGAACTGTTCAGATCTCTTGAACCAAAACAGTCCTAATAACTCCATTGCGATGCTAGTTCTGAACCTTTCTGCGCATACATATTGTAGAATATACAATATGTATGCGCAGAAAAGTTCAGAACTGTTCAAAACAACAAAACTCTTGAACCAAACACTGATTCATTCGACGTTAGAATGCTAGTAGATGTGCAAGTAAGTTTGCAGTGCACCAGAGGAGTTGGATGATAAATGTCTCAAGTGTGCCAGGGTTTAAAGCCGTACGAAATAAAATCAATAATAGATTCTAGTATTTTAGAGAGATAGGCAACTAAACATACGTACCTGTATATTTTGTAGAATATATTCATTTTATTGTAAAAATTGTTCATTTCGTATAGTCATTTATTAATGAGTTATGACGCTCTCGAGATTTTTTATAGTTTCATTATCACCTCAGAGTCTGGGTCGCTTCATAATAAACCATCAAATCGCTGTCGTAAAAAGTATTAGAATTTATGCCGAAATTAATCAACACTTCCACTTGAGCAGCTTCATTTAAAATTCTCCAATCTGTGAAAATGTGTCAATAAGATTTAAATCATATCTATAACATCAGCTGTGCCATATCTGTATCTGCTTATATTATGTTTATTCTCATAAAGCTTGTAATTCTCCCAAACGAGTTCCATGGGATTGAATTAACAAGCACATGGTGGTAATCAAATCACTTTACTCTCAGTTAATTTTTAACACTCCAATAATCGCGTGTCATCTAAGAGATGACGTACACAGTCTGTCTGGACTAACCAGTTAATACTTTTGCATGCATTGAATAGGCATCTTAGAGATGACATGCGCCCACTCTTGTAATAACCGGAGCAGATAACTACTGCAGTGTTAAGTAATCAACTAGGCAGCTTTTTTTTTAGTCTTCAATCGTAATTTTTAGCCACACTGTGCTATTTATAACATAATTTGAATAATAACATTTATAGAGTACCATGAATAACGCGAATGACCAATCGATTTCCGCTGTTATTTTCCGCATGCGGATCATGTTTATAACTTGGCGTGCGCCTGAGTGAAATGGCAGAGTTTTATTTTACAAAGCGTTACTCATGGAATGAATAAATAACTATAACACTAATAAACCAGAAATACACCTAAACAGAAACTTTTAGAACTAAAACAGATTTATTTTAAATCCGAAAAACGCCCTCTATTCAATAAAACCTACAATCACCCCCTCACAAAATGGCACAGATTTCTCGATTCCCGGCTCCTCCACCATTTCTGCAACATCAAATTTTAATTTTAAAGCACCATCTAGCGATGTACAAGTATGATAGAGGTTTGTAGGGGTTACCTTTGAGCTACTACCCCCTATCGTTCCCCAGGTGAGTTGTTCGGTATGGGAAAAGCAAAGCCAGGGGTGGTAGTGACGTAATAGGCGTCGGGACGCAAAGACTCCGGACGGCGACGATCTCCGCAAAACCCCAGCAGTGCAACTCCAGACGGTTGTGACGAGTGCACGCAATCCGCTGTTATCGTCGCCGCCGGCCGCTAACACTCTCTCTCTCTCTCTCTCTTCTTCTGATGACATGTATGAGCGTGTTCATCTTCTACGTTGATATTCGTGACGAAGAAACTCTTTGACTAATTGAAGATAAGGCGCAAAATTATAACGCGTGTGAAAAAAAAAAATTAAGAAAGATTTGTGTCTGCTGAAAGAAATTTTTTATTGAAAACAGAAGAAAAAGGGGTGATCGGTTTTTTGGTAAGTTAAAAAGAATGTTATTTATTTTTTCACAAAAATTATTGATTTTGAAGATTTCGATTTGTTCGTTTCTATTCGGATAAACAGAGGTACTTTTCGACGGTAACCTCGTAAAATTTGCATACGCTAATAAATTTGGTGCACGGTTCCAGAGTGCGGTGTGTTCGTATGTAAATCGGTCGGCGTTTAGCATTTTTCTTCGGTGGTGGTGCACCACCGCCGTAATTTATTCCCCAACACTAATTTTTTTTTCATTATTTTCGCCGAGTTCCCAACTTTCCATTTTTCCTTCTGTTTCTAAATATAAATTTCCCCGATAAAATCGATATACGACGAAGTAAAAGTGTGTAATACCATTCCATGAAATACGATCTTTATTACACCAGAATTATTTTGTATCCCGTGCATTTACACTGGTCCCGTACAGGAAATCATATTATTTAAAGCCGGGTTCGAGAACGGGTTATATTGGGTTTTGATTTAACTATTAATCGATTCCGGAGAGGTCGTAATAAATTTTGAAAACGGAAATAGAGACAAAACCGAAGTTTAAATTATTTTCAACACTAAAAGTCTTTATCTGAATATTCTAATAATAAATTAAACGAAATCTATATTAAATCAAAACTGAAACGATGAAATATTTCACTTTGATTACTACAAATACTATAACTAACTAAAAAACCTTACAAACTCTAATGTTATTCATGGAATTTCCCGGTCTCTTTTTGATGGAAATAATTTCTGCGAATTATAGAGTTCATTTAAGTTCCTTGAATTTACGGCAAATAGAAATCGAAACATTCTTGGTATGAAATGAGTATATTAACCCTCTGACAGTCACGTCGTAGAAACTTATACGGGTGATTGCATCGCGGTCTTTATGCCGTATACTAAAATTTGCTGAAATTAGAGAATATAAATTTATATATAAAATAAGTTATTTATTGCATTATTTATGCTTTTGGTTCTGATCAAGAGGTTTATGGCAGAGTTGGTATTTTGGTTCGTTAGGATGAAACTCAAATCAGTTAGAAAGTTACGTCACCTAGCCGAGGTACCTAATGGTTTCCTGGAATTGTATATAACATGTAAATTGATTCCTGCAAAGTATAATACTCGAAAAAAAATTGTAATTGGACATCTTCTAGTTATCCATTAGGTTGAATATGATGCACATTGTTGATTAAATCAGTTTTTTGTTCTATTGTACTTCAAAATTATCGTGACTCGAAGAATGTAAATCATCAGCCCTATTTTTTTGGCAACCTAAGACACTCAAGACATCTTCATGATGTTTTCACTCCAATCAGAAAAAGATTTTCTAACATAGCAAGCATTTTTTTGCTGTCCCAATCACTTTTGTGATTTGACTGACTTTCAAAGAAACCTCAAAATCGTCGATGTTCATGAATAAAATCGTCCATAACTCCAAAAGTGAACGGATTGGAGAGAAGCGTCCTATAAATAAATTGTTTATAATAAACCACAAAAAGTTAATCCATCACCAGATACAGCGTGGTTATTATAATTTTCTTGTTAAAAACTATAAAAACCAAAACAAGAAAATCGTTGACTTTCGTAAATAAAATTGTCCATAACTCGAAAACTAGACGTATTGGAGGAAAGTGTCTTATAAATAAATTGTTTATAATAAACCACAAAAAGTTAATCCATCATCAGATTCAACGTGATTATTATAATTTTTTTATTAAAAACTATAAAAACCGAAACATCAAAATTGTTGATTTTTGTAAATAAACTCGTCCATAACACTAAAACCAAGCGTATTGGAGAAAAGTATCTTATAAATAAATTGTTTATAATAAATCATAAAAAGTTAATCCATTACCAAATTTAGCGTGATTATTATAACTTTTTTGTTAGAAACTATAAAGACCGAAACATCAGAATCGTTGATTTTCGTAAATAAAATCGTCCATAATTCGAAAACTAAACATATTGGAGAAAAGGGTCTTGTAAATAAATTGTTTATAATAAACCACAAAAAGTTAATCCATCCCCAGATTCAGCGTGATTATAATTTTTTTTTGTTAGAATCTTTAAAGACCGAAACATCAAAATCGTTGATTTTCGTAAATAAAATCGTCCATAACTCGAAAACTGAACGTATTGGGAAAAAGTGTCTTATAAATAAATTGTTTATAATAAACTACAAAAAGTTAATCCGTCACCAGATTCAGCGTGATTATAATTTTTTTTTTGTTAGAATGTTTAAAGACCGAAACATCAAAATCGTTGATTTTCGTAAATAAAATCGTCCATAATTCGAAAACTAAACGTATTGGAGAAAAGTGTCTTATAAATAAATTGTTTATAGTAAACCACAAAAAGTTAATCCATCCCCAGATTCAGCGTGATTATACTATTTTTTTTGTTAGAATCTTTAATGACGGAAACATCAAAATCGTTGATTTTCGTTAATAAAGTCGTCCATAACTCAAAAAGTCAACGGATTGGAGAAAAGTGTCTTATAAATAAATTGTTTATAATAAACCACAAAAAGTTAATCCATTACCAGAATCAGCGTGGTTAGAATAATTTTTTTGTTAGAAACTATAAAAACCAAAACATCAAAATCGTTGATTTTCGTAAATAAAATCGTCTATAAATCGAAAACTAAACGTATTGGAGAAAAGTGTTTTATAAATAAATTGTTTATAATAAACCACAAAAAGTTAATCCATCCCCAGATTCAGCGTGATTATAATATTTTTTTTGTTAGAATCTTTAAAGACGGAAACATCAAAATCGTTGATTTTCGTAAATAAAATCGTCCATAATTCGAAAACTAAACGTATTGGAGAAAACTGTTTTATAAATAAATTGTTTATAATAAACCACAAAAAGTTAATCCATTACCAGAATAAGCGTGGTTAGAATAATTTTTTTGTTAGAAACTTTAAAAACCAAAACATCAAAATCGTTGATTTTCGTAAATAAAATCATCTATAATTCGAAAACTAAACGTATTGGAGAAAAGTGTTTTGTAAATAAATTGTTTATAATAAACCACAAAAAGTTAATCCATCCCCAGATTCAGCGTGATTATAAAATTTTTTTTTTGTTAGAATCTTTAAAGACCGAAACATCAAAAACGTCGATTTTCGTAAATAAAATTGTTCATAATTCGAAAACTAAACGTATTGGAGAAAAGGGTCTTATAAATAAATTGTTTATAATAAACCACAAAAAGTTAATCCATCCCCAGATTCAGCGTGATTATAATGTTTTTTTTGTTAGAATCTTTAAAGACCGAAACATCTAAATCGTTGATTTTCGTAAATAAAATCGTCCATAACTCGAAAACTGAACGTATTGGGAAAAAGTGTCTTATAAATAAATTGTTTATAATAAACTACAAAAAGTTAATCCGTCACCAGATTCAGCGTGATTATAATTTTTTTTTTGTTAGAATGTTTAAAGACCGAAACATCAAAATCGTTGATTTTCGTAAATAAAATCGTCCATAATTCGAAAACTAAACGTATTGGAGAAAAGTGTCTTATAAATAAATTGTTTATAATAAACCACAAGAAGTTAATCCATTCCCAGATTCAGCGTGATTTTACTACTTTTTTTGTTAGAATCTTTAATGACGGAAACATCAAAATCGTTGATTTTCGTTAATAAAGTCGTCCATAACTCAAAAAGTCAACAGATTGGAGAAAAGTGTCTTATAAATAAATTGTTTATAATAAACCACAAAAAGTTAATCCATTCCCAGATTCAGCGTGATTATACTATTTTTTTTGTTAGAATCTTTAATGACGGAAACATCAAAATCGTTGATTTTCGTTAATAAAGTCGTCCATAACTCAAAAAGTCAACAGATTGGAGAAAAGTGTCTTATAAATAAATTGTTTATAATAAACCACAAAAAGTTAATCCATTCCCAGATTTAGCGTGATTATTATAATTTTTTTGTTAGAAACTATAAAAACCAAAACATCAAAATCGTTGATTTTCGTAAATAAAATCGTCCATAATTCGAAAACTAAACGTATTGGAGAAAAGTGTTTTATAAATAAATTGTTTATAATAAACCACAAAAAGTTAATCCATCCCCAGATTCAGCGTGATTATAATAATTTTTTTGTTAGAAACTATAAAAACCGAAACATCAAAATCGTTGATTTTCATTAACAAAGTCGACCATAACTTCAAAACTAAACGTATTGGAGAAAAGAGTCTTATAAATAAATGTTTATAATAAACCAAAAAGTATTAATCCATCGGCAGATTAAGCTTCGATCAATCTTCTGACACAAATAAAAGAAATCTCGTTTGATGCATTCATTACAGCCCCTTTGGGTCCAGAAAACGTTTTGATTACATTTTTCTCCGTTGTGTTTACTACCTTTCTTACTAGTGTAAAAATGATCTTCCTCATCTTATAATGATCCTCTCTGCTATCATCACTGAGTGATGATTGCAAATTTGTAGTCTCACATAACACGATATCATTTTCAGTATTTACATCAATGTTTCATTGTCGATAATTCATGCGTAAATGTTGCTTCTGCATCTGACATGTTACTCAACTCTGAAGCTGATAGGTTATTTGATTCTGTACCTATTAATTATATGGTTGAATTCAAATATATAATCTCGGGTATTGTAATCTCGGGAAATCCCTGTTATAGGTTACCTTTTACCCGGTAGATTTAGTTCCAAAATAAATTTTACATTCAAATTTGCTATTTATTATGTAACTTACTTTCATTGTGTTTTGGCGATAGCGACGTTCACATTATTGGAATCAATTTTGCTCTCAAGCTTTCCTGAAGATAACAAGTAACCCCGAAAAATGTTTTTAATTAAAGTTTCTATATTAACCAAATTTTGCTATTATTATTCGATTAACTTTGTTTACGCTTATAAAATCTTTATACAGATTGCTTTTGTTTTTATACTTTATTAAAATGACCTAAATTTACTTTTAAGTGTTAATAATTAACGAATAAAATAAAATTATC